TAGGGTATGTAAAATCAAAATTTTAGGTCTGGGATAGGGTCAGGGTTTTGAGGTCCTGGCAGCACACCCCTACCCAAGTTGGGGTCGTAGTCCCCCCCCCGGATGACCCTCCCCTATAAGCAGCCAATTTTTTCTTTTCCCTCCCTTTTAGGGCCTTAAGAAGTTATGACCTTCCACATGTTTCCACCCCCCTCCCCCCTGCTAATTTCTGACAAGTCACTAARTTCATATTCAGTCAATTCTTCCCGAGAGAGGTGATATGTAGAAGATGTCGTTTTATATCATCAGCACATTCAGTCAATCTAGCTAAATGGGACGAACCTCGCGATTTGCCGCACTTTTTATCACCAATAAAGCAAACTCTAATTGCTTCACTTTGCAATTGAAACAATTTCCAAACATGTGCATTTGACAGCTCATTTGTTTTGCTGGTCAGCGGCCTCATTTCTAAGACTACCGTGAAACAAAGCCAACTCTGCATAATGTTGGTGTTAACATACCGCTTTTTTTCGCTCGAACACAACAATTATGCTGCAAGAATCATACCTAACTACAAACTAATCCTCGGGACAATCGTTGGTAGAGGAATTGATCATGAAGACTTGTCATGTTGATTGCTTGTAGAATCACGTTGTTTTCCCGATCGTGCAAAGCTGATGTGAATAAGGTCAATCAAAGGTCTGTTCAATTTGTTKTATTTATGCTCTCTATTGCTAAATTTACAGCTCTTTCCTGGAAATTCAATGCAATTAAAACTAAAGCAATGTATCTTTATTGATTTATTGATCTTACAAGTGGAAATTTGTCTTCAATTTTTTGAAATAAGCGTTCGCATTGTTTTCTCTTAATTCATGGCTAATTCAACATACAAATTTCTTACAAAACCAACCACAAATGAACGATAATTTTTTTTTCTGATTCCACTTGTGGAATGTGTTCAAAAAAATACCTTAAAATATCTTATCTTGGGTTTAAACATAATTCTGTGTCAATATAGAGTAGAAATTTGAAGGACGTAACAGCATTCGATTTTCATTTTCAATTTGACAACTCGTAAAATGCTGAGATTTGGCGGAGTCACAATATGCCTAAAACATGCTGGCCGAAAAATGTTTTTACATTTTATGAAAGATCAATGTTTACTTGTATCACGATAAAAATATTAGAGTTATAGAGCGATCCACTTTTGAGATTTRAATTTTTATCTTTTGTCATAATTTTGCAAGTCACGAAATGTCAAATATAGTGCAAAACTAGCGTACATTTTCTCCAAATAAAATACTTCTTCTTGAAGCTTTTAATATGTCAGGTTATTCCTCAGATGTGTATCTAGCAGCATGTAAAAGGATTTAATTTTGTGTGCATTTTTAAAAGAGATACAAAGCCTCAAATTTCATTCAAATTACGTTACCAGGAGGTGTCCAAAAACTTAATTTTTGCCCGAAACTTGACCCCCCCTTGAACTTAGCGAATTTCTGACGACATTCAAAATAAAATGCATTTTGATACTACCAGTAGGAAAGGCTTTCTGTACATAAAGTTTGAAAGAAATCTGAGAACCCATGCAATTTGGTCTGGTGATTCTTAGGGACACAGCCTCTTAARCGACCTAACTGTTCCACGAATCCGTCGAGGTTTTTTGATCGAGGAAACTAGAATTACAATTGTTGTTGGATGAAATTTTAATTTTAAGAAAATAAAAATGCAAAGAATAATCTAGCTACTCACCAACTTCATTCTGAAAAGTGAAAATAGCTTCTCCTTGATCCAGATATTTAGTATCTATCACCTCTCCACCTCCAGACTTCTTGTTGCTTTGGAAATACATGATTAGGTCTTTGCGAGAGATTTTGCTCCCTTTCGGCAGACCAGTAATGAGAACTCTATTTCTCTCCATTTTGACTCGAAGGCGTACTTTTTAAGCGCTATTGATCAGTATACTCTCACAGGCCCGGAAAGCCAACGTTGAAATGCTTAGTTTTATCGCTGACAAGCAAAAAAATAGGTGTAGTTATTCGGGGAAATTCCATAAATACTCGTTATTCCAAGAATTGAAATCGAGTAATGACGTAAACCAAGCCTTTATTTCGTAAATATAGGATTCTTGGAAACACGACGTCAGAAAAAATATATATATATTTCTTATGGCTTTATAAAAGATTATATGTATATTTTTAKTTGAGAAAAAAGTCTCAAGCGTATTTTATTGGCTTCTATATTTTTGTACTTAAAATTATTTGTGCAAAACGGTTTTATTTATATGTTTTTTGGTGTTGCGTGACAGTAATTAATATGCATACGATTCATGTTTTGACTTCCGTCTTTTCCGGGAAATTTCCCAACAGCTTCTGTCTGATGCAAACGGCCGAACAAACAAGACATTTTGAAGACTGTTTTGAACGGTTAAAATGGACGACCCATCCTTCTTTAAAGTCGAACTGGACGAAGAGGAAGCTAAGAGGAGTATATTAATAACGGATGTGCCTGAAAATGTTTCTCCTAAAGATGTTGTTATTCACTTTCAAAAGAAAAGCAATGGCGGAGGCGAAGTTGTGAATATTGATGATCATGGCAATGAACACCGTTCGCCTGTCGTTATAACATTTGAAGATCCTTCAAGTAAGAAGTCTGATCAATTTTAATCTAAATGTTCTTTCTCGCTTTTTAAGATATTTTAATTCTACAAAAAGTACACCAAGTCATAAGGTTTAAGGCAGATTCTATTTGTAATCTATAACCTCGAGTTCTTGGAATCGAAAATGTAACCAAATCCGTTCAACCAAAATGCAAACAACGTCTTTTCTTTGCTAGTGATGCGTTGAAACAATTGGTCTTTGACAGCAAATGTGCTAATTTCCGTTGATTTACTAGTATCTCTTTCGTAAAATCACCTTCTCAAGACAGAGCAATGTTTACACTTACCCGGTCAACCTTTACATTATTGAAGTTGCGAGCAACGGCTTTGTGTCCGACACATGACAAATTTATCTTTCTACGAGTTGAAATCAAAATTATTCATTTTCCTTAGCATAGTGAAAGTTTCTCGGCAGCTACGTTTCAGAAGCTTTAGCCTTAGTGTATCTGCAATACTATACAACTTCTGTAGACGTTCATCTTGCAATTGCACAAACCACAAAAGCTTAGCCTGCGTTCAGCCTATATAATTGCTCTCGATATTTCGAGAGAAATTATATGTCGTATTTCCAGACGGTATAAAACATACAATGACCGAGGCTGGCTAAGCAATAATTGAACAAGGTTGTGCAAAATATCGTTTGGGCTATTCCATTTAATATCCCCCCCCTTGAGGATCAGACCAATTGGGTACTAAAATTAACCCCTAAAGGATCCTAGCTTTTAATGCTTTCAACTGCTAAAGAGTTATATCAACGTGTGGTACCCTGGAGATTTTCATGTACAATTTAGGCAACCCCTGAAGGTTTTCCTACACAATTACCCCTAAAGATATTTGGTCCTCAACAGGGGGGAGGTGGTGGGGTACACATATTAAATAGAATAGCCCATATGTTAGTGGAGAGTGAGGGATTATTTGCCATTGCCGAAGGCAGAGACAGATAATTGCTTGCAAGACACTAACAAATTATAATATTTTGTGATTACTGAGTTTAATAATTATTGTCTTATCATCCAAATATTTTTCCCGCTCTTTCTGTGCTTTGGTTGTTTTTGCTTTCTCTCAAACATACCAAGTCACAGGGAAGTGAACCATGTTGACAAAGGCAATGTTATTGTGCATGAGCAGAATATCACTTGCAGCAAAATGGCTTTTTGCCATAATGGGCATGAACAGATTATTATTTGTAGGCAGTTATTTGTATTTACATCAGCCATTTAAGAACAAAGGTAATTTGAATGATAATACTTTTAATATTTATTTTACATATTTATAGTGAAGCTCTATTTCTAAAAGGTTGTTTGGCAAAAATTTTTACATTAAAAAAAAAATTTTTTTATTTTATTTTTTTAAATGTTAGGTTCATGATGTATTTTTCATTATTCTACATTATTATTATTATTTTCAATAGAGTGATAATCCACTAATCAATTGAAACCCCACCGCCAGACTGCTGGGAAAGGGTGGGGAATTTAACATCCATGCATGTGGTGTTGAAGTTAACACTTTGCTGTTATTAGTTAAATATTGAAGTTGCTTCAGCAGTTGCTTGTAAGTTAACTGTGGCTACTTTTATTTCTTTATTTCTTATCTATCATCAGATCATAGCCAGCTACTTGAGACTTCTTACCACCTTCTCCAAAACATTTTGAAAGTCCTGTTAAAATTGTTAAACAGTTGAAGTATGCGTTAAATTCCATGTATACCCATACATTCACTCTGTTAAATGTGTTTTAAATCCCAGATCTTGTGGTGTTAATTGCCTTCCCTGTCCCAGGGGTCAGAGGGTGGGGTTTTATCATCCATCCATCCATCCATCCATCCATCCATCCATCCATCCATCCATCCATCCATCCATCCATCCATCCATCCAT